CCCCCTGCCGTAACCACGGCTTGGTGGTGCCGGTGAAGGGCCACGCCGGCCACTGCCGCTGGAAGCTCTGCCTGTGCGACAAGTGTGCCCTCATCTCGGAGCGCCAGAAGATCATGGCAGCCCAGAAGGCCCTGAGGCTGCAGGTGCCCGACCCCCCGGCTGGGGCGGCCGCAGGGCGCCCTTCCCTGGGCGAAGGTCCTGGGGTGGCAGCTGGGGCGGCCAGTGCCCCAGGGGAGAGCGGCCACGAGGGGATGAAGAGCACCCAGCCTGCCGGCAGCAACAGCAGAAGCATGGCATACAGGGGGCCACCGCCTGCCAGCGGCCCTCCCTTCTGGGACTACGGTAAGGGCCTGTCCTCAAAGCCTCTTCCTCTGTCCTGCCATCTTTCTGTGTTCATCCTCCCCTTCCCCCTATCAAACACTGCCACTTGTGCAGTTTGCACCCACCGATTCCTCAGGCTCCAGCTCCCCAGAGAGCCATTACTGCTCTTGCTCTTTCCTTCTGGACACAGGTACTCAGCTTGTATGTTCAATGTGCAGCCCTGCATTTATTTTCCCTTTTGCAGGGTCTGCAACGTGGGTTACGCGGCTCTGCAGTGGCAGGAGCAATGTGCTCAGCCTTGCTGCTCATTGCAAAGTTGAAGCTTAAGCAAGTGGCTTGTCTCTGAGAGGGAAGTTAGCCTGGGAGGGAAACCACACTCTGATCCCTTGTGCACTGCAGGTGCCTGTGCATGTTTCTCTGAGTGCTGTCTCCCTGTTTATAAATTCACAGGCAGAAGCCTGCAGCAACAAAAAGGCTGAAGGCAGGTAAATGGGAAAGTTACCACTGCAGTTGCCTAAAACAAGCATTTTATGATAGCACTGGCCTTTATTCCTGTAGCAAAGATTGAACTTGGCTGGGATCACTTAGTGTAAAAGTGTGTTTGGTACTTAAGAGCAGAGCATAGATTTTGTAGGTGGAACAGTTGTACGGTCTGTCACCTCTTAAATTGCTCCCTTTTAATAGAATCTTTCATGTGACTTATCTAGTTTATTACTGTTTATTATAGTAACTTCATACTGTTTCTATTTACTGCAGTAATTTTACAGAAATCCCTACTGACTGCAGTGGTCAGTAGTCTGAGCCTTTGGAGAGTTGGCAGCCTGCAAGACAAAATGCTGTTCTGAGAAGCCCAGAGGAAAGAGTCATTCGGACATCTCTAGTTCCCACCTAGTCTGTCAATAATTGTTCCCTTTTTTTTTAGCTATGTTTCCTAAGAAAATTATGTTTGTGGATGATTGTACCTGTACCTGTCAGTCCTTCCCTTAGTAACATTTTTAACCTACTGACCAATTTAAAAAAAGGTTAGGGACAAATAGTATAATTCTAGTACTCCAGAAGTTGACCTACTCTCGAAGCAAATTCTTCCACTTTACCAACAGGAGGATGCGCAGACAAGACCCTATTAATATTTGAATAACCAGTCTTAAAAAAAGACTTCAGAGAGGCCATATAAGATTCCAGATGCAAGATAAAAAACAAAGGAAGTAACTGATTCTTGCATCTGAAATTGCTTGTGTATGTCCCTAAAATTGAACATTTGTCTGTAAATTAATGTAAGATTGACAGATGGGACTAAAGTTAGAACTCTCTTATTTCTGTAGATTTTTGTTTTAAGTTCTGCTAGAGTTAAGTTTTAAGGTAGGTTGCTTTGCTGTTGCTGATGTACTGGAAGAATAAAATTCTGCAGCCAGTGCTTTACCAAGGACTAGCTTCACAATGCACAAGGCAGAAAAGAACGCACATCATTCTGCATTACAGTGTCATCTGCTGCACCTTTCCTTAGTTCCTTAAAAAATCACAAAATAAATTCATGAGGAGCTCGGAAACCAAAGGGCCACATTCTCCTGCTTAAGAGTGGAATTTGGTCCTGCAGCTACTTCTACTGAACTCCATAGAATTACATGGATACTTTTATTTGTTATTTGTTCTTTTCTCATTGTTTCCCAGCTCACCCTGCTTTTCCTCCAGAATACATGGTCAACCCAGAATACCTGGAGAGAGAGCCTCCAAAAGTGTACCCTGGGTGTTCTGGGGTATATCCTTACCACCCATTTCCAATGGGATTCGCCATCAATCAGTCAAGCTGTAGGGGAGCACCACCACCTCCAGGGATATCACTTCAGAGAGGTTTCCAGCACATTCCTAACAACTACGGGCCAGGGAATGCAGCTTCTGTGTCAGTAAGTAGTGGTCTTTCAATTACCTCTGGAAATACTGCTGGCTTTACTTTTATCTGTCTTCTTGATGTTAAAACACCCATGAAAAGTTACCCTGCTTATCAGTTACTTCACAGCATTTTGATAATTATGCTGAAAAAGATATTAGCAAATGGTGAGGTTAATAGTCTGACCCGAGCCCAGAAGAGCAAAGCCATGCACTTGCAAGGGGCCAGATTTTGCAGTGTTTTAGGGCTTACACATCTTGCTAACATCTGCAACAGCCTTTTTAAATTATGGCAATTGGACACTTAATATGGTGATGTTGTGCCAGCATAGATGGCACAGAAAGCTCATTGGGAGGTTCCCCTTCTTCCATGGAGGACAACTCTAATGGCAAGGGCGGGTGTCAGAGTTTGGTGAAGGCACCACAGCCGCAGAGAACAGGGGAAAATCAGCTTCCACGGGGAAGCGAATCAGCATGGTCAGCTATTTCTGTTTTGAGACAATTGGTTTCTCAAAAACAGTGGAAAACTGTTGTAATTAACAGAAGTTTCAGATTAAAATTACATTTAGCGTCACAGGGCCCACACCTTCAAACTACTCGGCTAAATTGGCTGTCAGTTGTAATGGTGTCTGTGGGCACTTCCAGTTCCTTTCAGTGCTGTCAGTCATGTTGGTTTAAACTGGTGGTGTCCAGTTTTTGTACCACAGTTGGGCACACTATCAGATTTCCAGCTGCCATGCACCATTCTGTCTGCATTGAGCACAACTCATCAGTTCATGTTAAGGTGGAGTGATCTGCCTCAAGACTGATGGATTTATTATGCTTGTATAGAAATTCCCCGTCACATTTTAGGGGTTATTGAGAAAGAGGGTGGCTAGCAGCAGTCTGAGGTCCAGATAAATTATCCTGGTGGGCTGGATACTTACAGGTTGGGAAGTGCCTTGTCTAGACCATCACTGTATGTGGTTTTGAACTAATTTTTAACTGTCCTGAAACAGATGGAAACATCTCATACAAGTTATTTCTGCAGCCGGGTGCATGGCCAGATCCAAGAAAAAAATACTTTTAGTCCCCGATGCTAGTGTTTCTGAGGATGGAAGTATCTCCTTGCACATGGAATGAGTTTTATCATGCTCTAACAGGTCTGGTGATCACAGAAGACTGGGACTGTGGTTCACACTGTGGTGCACACCAGCCCCTCAGTGGAGGTAGAGTCACTCACTTCACTGGGTGCAGGGGAGAATCCATAACTAGCAGGGAGGTGGTGGCAAGAAACATTTTCCTAGGATGCCTTTCTGTTGCATGAGGACTTCCAGATTTGTTCAGAGGCATGTGCACCAGGTCAGTGGTGAAGGTGAGCTGCTCCTGGTTTAAAACAACCACTCTGCTTAGAGGCCATACTAGATGACAAGGACTTAGAAGGTCAGTTTCAGCTGAGACATGGTCTGAGAAGCTGCTACTTCTCAGTTTCAGCATGTGAGACTATGCACAGGCTTTGCATGTGCTAATACATGCACAGATGTGGCAACATATGGACAAAAAAATGTAATATTCACAGGTAAAAATTGAAACAGAAATTGTTTGATACTGCAGATGTATCCTGAAGAGAGTCTTTAGATGGAAGACGCTTAGCTTCATGTGTTTCCACAGATGCCAGATGGAGGTGGAGATTTCCATCAAGGATACTACACTCCTCTGCCTCAGTTCATCTCACCGAGTTTTCTGCCGGGGATTCATTACATTCCACCTGCCCTTTCACTGAACATGTTGGCTGAGACAACCGAGGAAGCACATGGTAAGGAAGTATGAGATGAGCCCTGGAAGATGCAGTTTCCACCCAGTTTCAAAAGCTAACCACAGAGGTGGAAACCCCAAGAGACCCAGATTCTAGCTAGTGACAAAGCCAGGACTGAGCTCCTGAAGGCCCAGGACAGATTGCCAGCTTGCACAGCTGTGGGCAGGGCTGACTTGGGGAAAGCATCCTGACATGCTTGGGCTTTCCAGCTGACAGGCACCTCAATCTCATGCAGACGTTGGAGGCCCCAGAACTCAGAGCCATTCCAGAATATGATCTGTTGATGTTCTCAAAATGAAAACATTTTTCTAAATAGTTAATTTGCAGGACATATTTTAAAAATTCTTTGGCTCTGTTGCCATTTATACAAAATGTAAAATAAAATGAGGACTAACACTTAGCGTGAATAGTATGAAATTTCTTGCTCATCTGAAAATCCTACATTTTAATTGCTGTAAATGAAAGATTGAATCCTCAAAATCTCAAGTTCTCTTATTGAATCTCACACGTTTTTAAATTTCTGGCATAGGTTAAGTCTTTGCACTTCTCTCTTTTGGGTTTGTTTTATGTATTGTGCCTACATGTGGACATATTTGTGATTATATTTGCATTTTTCATTTGGCTGCAGCTAGCTGTGACCACAAGAGGGTAGAGCTGCTCAGAGAATTAATCACTAGCACTGGATGAGTGAACAGCCAGCTTTATTTTAAATTATTTTTGAAAATGCAGATAAATAAACTTAATTTATCTTCTTGAACCTGAGAATAAAAAAATTTTCATCTGACTGTTTATGAAACAGATTATGATAAACACACAGTGAAAAATCAAATTTTTGTATAAGAGGGAGGAGAAATAGAGGAGTATAATTACCTCATTTAAATTGAAAATATGTTGATGGTTATTATGTGGGACAAAATGTAAGTTGGGTTTTTTTTGGCCTGGTTTCTCAACAACATAAGGCTCATTTTCTGTTAATGTCAGTCCTCTCATAACTTTTCAATCCATTAGTTATTTTCCCCCAAACATACCTGTTGTGATCCCAGGCCTACACAATATTGATCTGCAAGGGAAACAGATGCCTCCCACAAAATGGTTTGTTTGCAGCCATGTCGTGGTGTTTGGCTGGCTGGCAGCTTGCACGCAGTTCCTGACTGACGTGTGTGTCCCTTGGCCAACAACCAGATGCTTGCCAGTTGGCCCAGCAGTGGGCACGCAGAGCGTACCTGCTTCTTGTCTGGCTGGAAAGCCAAAAAAAAAATAAAAAGGAGATGTGGTGGACAAGGGAAATAGGAAGAACATGGCAGTGTGGGGCATGCACAGACATTGCAGAAATATAAAGTTATTTTAAGGTACTGACAAAGGCACTAGGACTTAATGCAGCATGCAGGAGATACAGGTGTGTGTGAGGTGAAATAATATGGGCTGAGTTTGAGGGGAGAGAGGAAACTGAAGGCTGGCAGGCAAACCAGAAAGTGTATGTGAGAATTAATGGGGCTTGTGATTCAGAGGGGACAAAAGATCTGGGGGATACTGCAGTGGCAGAGAACCTGTAGGGAGCTGCAGCTGTTCTGCTGGAGTGTGTGGGAATGGGAAGGAACTGGGAGTAGCAGACAAAAAAGGGGGACATGGTGAGAAGCAGTGGTATTGCATTAAGGAAACCAGAGGAAATCCAGTCCTATATTGGTGGAGTGAAGTTGTACTGTCCAAACAATCATGAAAACAGGCAACTGAACAAAGAAGAGAGGTCATGAGAGCACTGCACCCCCCCCAGAGAGCAAAATGCCATCTAATGACCTCAGCCCTTATTACACACCAGGGAAATCACAACCCAGGCACAAAGCCATAGGAAACAATGCATCATGGATTGTGCTGCTCAGGGAAAAATCCAGTTTTCTTAGTACTACGGAGAAAGTACAAATTAATTCCACTACATAGCATTTTTGCTCCAGGATGTGTAGGAATTTGCAACTGTGACCCAGTGAGGGGGAATACTTCTGAATGAGGTCATACACAAAACAGCCTGCCAGCAGAAGATGCAGACGTAGAGGGAAGCTACAGTGAAACTAATAATTCTTTGATTCTAGTATTCAAGATGCTTGAAAAAAAGAGAAAAGCTGTAACATTTAGTGCATAGTGATGTGTCAGGATTGCATCATGTCTTTTTTCCCAAGAAAGGAACTGACTCAAACCTGCAATTAGACTTGGGAACATCCTTCCTCCAGAGAGACCTCCAGAATTGAGGTGAAATGGACTCTCTGGCAAAACCGTCGCAAGAAAATGGATACAGAAAACTCTAGCAGAGGACAACTGGTGAGAAAAATGTCTGTGATCTCTGCCACGAAGGGAATCTGAGATGAAGACAAATAAAATAAACCCACCAAGTCCTGTCTGAAAAAGATTTTCCAAGGCTAGAAGCTGCTGCCAGAAAGGTTTGAGTCAGCAGTTGACTGCAGTTGAATGACTGAGGCCAGTTAGGTTTACAACAGCGATGTGAAGTATAGGCCTTGTTGTTTAACAATTTCATGCAGTAATAACTAGCAATGTTATAATAACAACACAATAATACACAATAATAAACACAAGGTATGTCCCATAAAACAGCCAGTACAGCATCTGAGGACAGAGTCTGATTGCAGATTGTTGGCTTTCAAAAAGAGCGAGCCACAAAAAAGCCCAAACAAAAACCCAAGTTGCCTGTGAGGAAAGGAGGGAGCTTTTCATGCAAATTGGCAAGTAAATATAAAATGAAAATCCCTAGCTGGATTTGAAGAAGGCATTATTAAGTCTGTCAAGGCCTTTGAGAATTCACAGGAGTGTTAAGGAATGGCATTGATTCACTGCAGTTAAGTGGACAAAAGAGTCTGCCTCATACTTCTATTCCAGTGCAGCCTCAACACTTGTGATCTTGAAGGACTCTTGCTACATTTCTTTAAGCATGGCTGAAATAATCAGCTGCTGTCTGAAGTGCAGTATCTCAGTTCAGAGCACTGCAGCTCTTGATGTCAAGCACCTTTGAATTAACTGGTTTGAAAAACAAACTAGATTGACAAAAGTCAATCAAGAATTTACCTCTGGAAATGCGATTGATACCAGGTGTAATGCAAACTGAAATACTACAGGGTATGGGGTTTTGGCTTGTTTGTTTGTGTTTAAGTCTCACCTTTTCTATTCTTCATTTTTATTTCAGCTACTGAAGCTGACAGTCAGGATTCCAGGGTGGTTCGTGACCCTGGCCTGCCACCTTCTTCCCCAGAAGAAACAAGCAGAGACCAGTCTGGGTATTCTAAACAGTAAATGGTCTGGAGAAGAGCTGAGCAGCAGGCAGCATTACTTTAAAATGCTGATGAGAGTGTTAGTTAATATGAGGGTAGAGTGACACTTAGTCACTGAGCAGCCACAACATCCAGAAGAAGGGGATTAGTCCCCTGCCTGGCTTTATGATCATGTTAGAGCTCCCAGGCTCACAGCTCAGCCTCCCTAGCACTGTAAAGCCCTTGTTCCTAAAAGAGGTTTTCCAGAACCATGGTAAATCCCTTCCCCTTAAGAAAGTGGAAGCAGCAAATGATTATAACTCTGTTTCCTTTGCTGAGGTTAGATGGCTCCCTGACTGGAGTGAGGTCTCTGAGCCATATACATTCTGTAGCCTTCTCATGTTCATGACAGTCGTCAAAAATGTGTTGTTTGTATATCAACTTGGTGTAAAGGAAACCTGGTTCTGAATATTATGGAAGAGTTAAGTGATGTGGAGCCTGAAGACTAAGTGAGAGAGGATGGGAAGACAGTCTGGGTTGCTGGTTTACTTGACTGCCTAAGAACGCGATTCACTGGATTCAGCGGGGTAAGGGAACAGTAGGTGCTCGGTACACTTGCCAAGAAGGGCATGGGAGGAATTTGCAGAAAATTCTGGTATAGGCTGAAATCCAGTGCCTCCGCATTGTTTTCTGAGTGAACTGCCTTGAAGGCACCTTCTGTTCAGGTTGGGAACAGACTGATTGGGAATTGCCTCTTGTCACACTGGCTTAGGATTTTGAATGTCCTTGATGGTTTATAGATAATTTCAATGTTGTTTAACTCAGTACAGGACTAAACAGTACTTTTTGTTTCTAAAGGGCTCATGTAGACAGCTTTATACATGTGTTTTGGAAGTGCACTGTTCCGTATCAAAGGTGTGGAGAGATTTCCTAGGAAACTAGGACAAAACACCCTTTAGAATAACAATTAGTCAAATCCATACATATTACAATTTTCAATTAAAATGTTTAATTAAAAATTAAAGGTACATTCCTCTGCCGTTTTTCCTAGAGGAATTAGTTTTGTATTAAGTGGATCAGTTGTTAATGTTTGAATAATTTGGGGGGCGGTTTGTATCATTAAAAAAGATACATTAAATTGTTGGTGTGGTTTTGATGGTTTGAGGCTTGTATATTTACACGTAATTTTTCTAAACAAATGTCAGATATTGCCCTGAACAGCTCTGTGTAACACACTGGTCCGGAGAGAAATTTAGGCTTCACTATTTTTCTTCTACAACTTTTGACTGCTGCTGTAGAGGTGTGCTCAGTAAAATAAACATTCTTTTTTTCTGCTACTTGTACTAATCCTTGCTCAATGCAAGATGTAAAGAAATTATACTAAGCTGATTTTTTTTTTTATGTGTTAGATGATCTGCTGGAATGATTTCCAGCACACAAGGTTTTGGGGGACAGTGAATTAAAATGGCAAACTTAGAACTGCCAAGAGGAAAAACTGAAAAACACGTATCTATAGCAAATCATCTGATGTACAACTTGTTGTATACTAGATTTACAACAGCATCTCTGCTCCCAGGAGTGTCCCAAACCTCCTCTTAAAACTGCTGTCTCCTTGGGAAAATCTGGATACTTCTTTAGTCTGGATAGAGCAAAGCTCTTTTCAAAATAAAATAATCTACAAACAGAAATACCAGCAGCACCCACAGAGCAAGGTCGTCTGTGGATGGAGAGTTGTTCTTTTGTATATATAATATAATGATTTAAGGAAACAGTAATGTACAAGATGAACAGTTGAATAGTCTCCTTCACAGATATTTTTCTCAAGTCATATTCAGTGTTGTTTTACTCCTTAAATCTCAAAGCAAGGTGGACTCCAGCCCATTCCACTGACTGTAACGCACAGTTATTGTAGATATAGTGCATACACAGTACTGTTTTCTGTTTTGCTGTGCCAGTGACTGCTTCCAGATTGCTAAGCCAAACTCCTTCTTTTCCTTTTCCTCCATCTTTTTGAACAATCCGTGAGTGAACCAAAGCCTTTACCTTGGCTGTTTGAATGATGGTATGGCACTCCAGTAGGATCTGTCACTGCATGGCTGCAGACCAGTGTTCATCTCCAGAGGGATGTCATGAGTTTAAAAAGCCAGAGAAAGACAACTAAACTGAACAAGGAGATGAAGTTGCCTTACAAGGGGAGTCTAAAAATAGACTAGTGTCTTCAGTTGGGAGAGGAGAAAGTTGAGGGGGGTATGGTTCAGTTTTAGAACATTGTGTCAGCTGTGACAAAGTCGATGCAAACCCATTGCCTTGCTACTTCCATAAACATGAAGGACAAGGTGACCAGGGGCAGAGGCAAATGACATCTGACCAGCCTCATTGTCCAGTCTAAGGAAATCACAGACATCTGCCCCAGTCTAAATTCTTCACAGTTGAGCAGTTACAATTGGCTTTCCTAGAGCACCCATAGTGAGGCCAATACTGTTTAATATGCATAATAATATCATCAGTCAAATTTTGGTGTCATTTCAGATTTTTACAGTTTAGGAAATTTGTCCCCAAATTCTTGCACCTATCTCTGCATGGAAAAGTAAATTACTTGGTAAGAGAATTAAAGTGAGCAACACTCCAGCTGACAGGAAGAATTATCTTATGTGGATAATTCAAGGTTTCATTCTTCCATTTTATGCTCATCTTTTCCTTTTTAACCAAAGAAAAAATGTTCCTTGACAACTGGTATTGTCATAGTGTGCACTTAAGGACTTCAAAGTGAGTAATTTTTATTCCAAACTTGGTGCCAAACGATGTTTCCAATAATTAAACTCTGTGATCTCTTCTGACTCCATTTATTTAAATAAATGACTTAGGGATAATGAAATCAATTTGGATTGAAATTGAATTATTTGGATTAGACAAGTCACTCAGAGATTGTTCCAGCCTAAATCATCCCAGAATTTTATTGTTTTTTATTAACGCTGAAGCTACACAGACTTTGGTCAAATTCATAAAACTTGGGGAGAAAAAGGAAAGTTAGCTATGATACCCGCTTCTGAAATCTTTCTGCATGCAAGCTGCTACTGACTGCAGTAGGAATTCTGCAAACAGCATGTCATCTTTTTTATTTCCTGATTTCTGAGGACTGACTGCCTTGCTAAATAGATCTGAACTTCTGAAGATGCAGTTCCTAACACTTGACACTCCTGTCAACCCTCCATCCTCACTGCAAGCCCCTAGGTCATCACAGAGCAACAAGCTTGCTTTATATGCTGGAGGAGAAAAACCTGAAATTAGGAACCAGTTCTTTAACGTTTACTCACACAACTAATTTCATTACTTTCAGTGGAATTATTTGCGAGGGTACAGAGTTGACAACGTTGGTTAGGTATGCAAGTTTAGGATCCAAGTTTTATACAGAGGTGTCTGTGACACTGTCCAAAACCTCAGATTATTGTAGATTTGCATTTTCTGTAGGAGCTGTGGAAAAAAAAAAAACAAAACAAACCCAAGGGATTCTAGAAGGATCACGTAATATGTCCATTCTGCAAACATCTGTAAGATTCATTTGTCTAGCAAACTGCTAGATGTTAACATTTCTGTGGTATCGACTTCTACATCTGGACTGAAGCAGGTTTTCGCATGACAGTAATTATAATACTCTTTCTAGGTCTTTTTTTCCTCTTGGAATTAGATGCACCCAGTTGGAAACCTCTGAATCCACAGCATGACTATAGCTGTTTTTTCCACATTAATGAGTAATTAATTTTGAACAGCAATCCAAAGAAACATTTAATTACCTACCAATAAAGTCAGCTTGCTGCAAACAAAATTCTCCCTCCTCTTAAAAAAATAATTTTCATGACAGAAAAATTCTTTATGATGTGAAACATACTTACTTTGGAACAGTGGAAACTTTAATTAAATCATTCTTATGGGCAAGAGGGTCTGGTTTTCCTATTTTTTGCCCAATGTTTTACTACTGCAACATTAGCATTAGTCACAGAGTTATGTCTCTGCTTAGCTTGCCAGAATGTAAGGGAGAAATCCAAATGTAAAGAAAGACTTTGTGGAATCTATTCCTGAAATCAGAGTGTTACTACATGTTTTATTGTAGCCCAGGCCATTGAGAGCGCTCCAGATCCCCCACAGATGACCAGGCAGCCATGTGCCCATTCACACACCTATGCATTTTACTCACTTGTATCCTTACAGGTATGTCTTATCATACATGCGTAAGGCTTGAAGAGCCTAGGCTAGAACATTTCTGAAAAGCCCCCACTCAAACCAGCAGGCCTATTTTGGTATTAATTTTATTTACAGTGGGTAACATTCTCTTGTTTCTCCTTGCTGGCCCTTCCCACTGGGTCTTTGGATATTGTCCTCAGCTGGGCAACATTAGTGGCAACCTTGCAACTTACTTCCTAGGGTGATCCCTTATGGATGTAATGATGAGCCGGTTGTGATCTCACACTGTTTTATTTTACGCAACTGTCTTTAGTGGGGGCAGTTCTGGTTTCATTTACTAATAATTGTCAGGGTTTTATAGTCTTTACTGGTACAATCTACTCAAAAGTGTCCAGGCCACATAAGCTAGAACAAATACAAAACATTTCTTTTTACAAAATGTGGTTTAAATAACAGTCATATGCATAGTTCCCTAGGAGAACCTTCCTAGTTTTTCACGGCAGGCTCTGTTTCCCATTAAAAAATGTGTTCTTTTGATCAAAGTGCAAATTGACTGTTTCTCACATTCTTACAACAAATAAATAAGTAATTCAAAAGTGTTATGTACCTGTGGATAACTTTTTATATTCCCTTCCTCATGGACTGCCTCACATCATGAAATGGTTCTTTACTTCCTGATGTTCCTCAGTCCCAAGATGACAAATTTGTTTGAAATATCTCTAGGCACTTTGGCCATCTTCCCAAAGGCATGCGCAGGGCAAGTAATCCCGTTGTCCAAAGCTGAGCAGCTTGGTAGAGAGATCTGCAGAGGCCACACCTGCTTAGTTTACTTTCCTTACTGAGTCTGCAGCTGTGTTTTGTTTT